TCCTACACGAAGCACTGACTGCTGATCGGTGATCACACGAGGTGGTCAAGGACGTCGGGCCTGCCAGGGATAGCTGATTTTATGGCGGAAGGCTGAAGTGGGTGGGCTGTGTTTCCGCTTGTCATCAGGCTTGCTCTGAGTGCCAGAACTAATCGAAGTTGGGATAAGTTATTACGATTTCCTTTCTCTGTTATGAACTAAAGATATAAATGCAAAGATTTCTCCAAGATAATTATAGATATATGAATAAATATTTAAGAATAATAAATAATAAATAACCTACTGCTTTGTGAAGGAAAAACTTTGATTAAGACTCTTTTTATTATACATTTTCCTTCATATCCCCCTTAGGTCTTTGGTAAACATGAAAAAGTCACTGAAGAGTCACTTCTATGTTAAAGTTAATAACCAAATTTACATGAAACATGTACACTTTAGTCTTAGCTTGAGGGAAAACTAATTTCAGCTTCTGTTAAAGGTGTTGCCAACTAAAAGGCTTCGACTTCCCTAGCTCTTGTGGCCAATGTAATATTAATATCTAAGCTGGAATATTTATGTGGTATATTTTATGGACCCATTCTGTTTGGGCCACTTGGCGTTGAGGAGAAACAATGAGGAATGCTTTATTACCCAACGGGGAGAGCACGTGCAGCCGGTAAAGCGGACAAAGAGCTGGTGACCCCAACGGCCAGGCTGATCGGGAATTGAGAATTCAAAGGAGGAAGGCTACAAAAAAACAACCAGAAAGGGGGAGCTCACAAAAGGTGCTCGGAGGAGATGCTTTTGGTGGCATTTTTTGCACTGCTGCTAACAATATGAAAATTTATACGACAAGTCTGTCATATTTTTACAAACGTTATAAATCACACCTCGCAACAGTTAGCCCTGGCCATTGGTGATGGTGATGGCTGGCCGAGGAAGGCAATGCAAATATTGCTGCAAGGCACGCGATTCTCAAGCTGGTTTACTTTTATTGCCCTCACTCTCGTCTCGTTGCAGAGTTTTACGAGTCTCATTTCAGCCTTGCGGTGGGTCTCAGACTCAGTTCCTTCTGCTGCTTATGGCCCTACTTCTAGGGAATGGGCCCAGGCACGGCGCAACTTGAACGAAAAATGCTAATTTTCTGAGAGACGCAACTGAGAACCCCCGGCCCAGGACACAATTGTCATTGTCGATTGTTTGCTTGTTTTGTGCTGCGCGGTTCGCTTCAAAAGGCTATGGAATAGAGACAGTGGATCGGCATCGGCAGGACAATCACACAAAAAGGACAATTGCGTATTTAAAATTTTAATTTTGCGTTAAAGAATTGTCTTTTTGTCAAGAGTAAATTCACAAGTAGAAAGGAGGAGAAAGAGACCGCAGAAAGTCATATTGGGAGGTCCTCACTCGGTAGCAAAGAGACAAAGGACAACGTTTAGTGGTAAGCGTGCTTCAAAATAGACCAAGGAATATGGTACCTTCATTCTAAGCCACTTGTGCACGCTGGCCAGATGTTCAGAGTCCTTACAGGTCATTATAAAGATTTCATTATCTTGGTTAATAATAGGGAGCATTGGAGGGTAAGGTGATCAAAGGAAAATATCACTAAAACCATTTAAAATAAACTAGTGTCCTTTTATTAAACTATAATGGAAATTAAATAGTAACAAAGACATTTTATTTAAACCTATTAATATAATTCATTTCATTTAATGTATTATATATATTATTGAAGGAATACTTTTAATAACCTCTAAAAGGATCTACAAAAGTATATTAAAAGCCTTGGTTTTTTCAGAATTCATTAGGCAATTCACGAAATGTTTTTTGTATTAAAATGTTAGGAAGTTTTCATACAAAAGATAATTCAAATTAATTAATTAAAAAGAAAGTGTTAAATCTTGTTGGCTTCTTTCTTTTAAAGACTTTATTTTGCCTCCCAGAAACCATAATTTACTTAGCATCATTTAATTATATCATCCTCTTCGTCTCGGATTTGCAATTAAAATAATTCGCCATGATTTCTCTGAACCAAAACAATTCTTTAAATTTTTGTTCAAACAATGCCTGGCACCTCGGCAAACCCGATATGAAAAACGAAACGAAGCCCACTGAGCATTTAGAGCAATTAGAAGGCCTTGGCAACAGAATGTTGGCTGGGAGGAAAACAAATGCCATAAAGGCAGATATATCAGGAAGGCCCCACACATGCGGTGCTGTAATTAATTTACGCCACTTGAGTTCTGAAAACGATTTGGCAGCAGGACGACTCCGCTGAGAGAGTGATGCGAGGTGGCGCCAAGCGGAAGCGGAAATGCCAAAGCATGTGGAAACATTTGCCAATGTCGGCTACCATGCATAAGCGTATGATTCCGACGCAATTAAGGGACCCCCACGTTCAATGTGCTCTGGAGAGGATAAGTCCTCCTGCCACACCGCGTCTCATCCTCTTGGCTGACCTTTGTTTACCTTTGCGTTGATGCTGTGGGGCTTAGAACGCGTTATTTTTACGCGTCACTCGCCGCACTAATTGAATAATTGCCACCTGGACGAACTGCGGGGCAGATTTATGGGAATAAAGCTGGACACCAACAGGATATCAGAATATTTAGCGCAATGGAAATCATTTTTCACTAGTTAAAATTCAGGATATAAAATAGGAACTACGTATTCATTACTGAAAAAAGTGAAACAGTTATATTTCTAAGCATCTTAACAAGAAATAAGTAAGAAAAAGAAAACTACACAAGCCATTGTGGCCAACCCTTCTCCATTTTCCCCCATTAAAAAGCCCCTTACTGCCAAAACCAAACTTCCGGTTCCACCCCATAAACATAATAGAAGAGTAATTAACACGAAATCCCAAATTGTATCAGTCCCAGCGACAGTGACAACCCTCAACCAGCATAAAATCAAAGAGAGAAAAATACAGAAAAAATGTTGATACTTTTTGCGATGTTTCTGCTGAAAAAAAAAACCATTTATCATAGGAACCAAAGCCGAACCGAACCCAATGACGGCCCATTTGCTACAGGAAGAGCATTTGGCGACTCGCCCAAAGGACCGCAGGAGCAAAAGGACCAAAGTGGCCGTATGATGGCAGCCAGTTTGGCCGGCAAAAGTATCTTGTAGATACATTTAACGTCATCAAGCTTTCGTCTGAGAACGCACAAAGTATGTGGAACAATTTGACCGCAGTTGCGGCACATTTGAACCCAAATTACTTGAGATAAATGCGTACTTAATTTGCAAGACTTTTGAGTGGTGGTATCAAAATAATAATCAATGTTCCATTATCCCCGATCCCGGGGACTGCGTGAAGATTATAAGCAACACGTCCCCTTGCCACATGCAAATTCCAGTCGAACCCGTTCCCTTTGGTTCCTCTTTGGGGTTGAGACGTACCTTTGCCTTGGGCAAAACCCGGGAAACCCGGTCTGTGCGAAAAGTTTTTGTCGGTGCGAAAATTTGGACATGTTATGTGTTTGCCAAAGTTAAATAGCTACCGGCTCAGGGGGCAAAGGTTAAACAAGGATTTGCCGTGTTTTCTTTAGTGATGTCTACCTCCTCGAAAAGGGGTTCATCTTTGTTCTGATTGGTCACTTATATCAGAGGCTTAAAGCTAAGAGTTCCTTAATTGGAGTTTTGTAAATATAATCAAGACATTTAAGCTATATTTTTACCAACTCTTGTTTTAATTTAAAATTAATTACAATTTTTATTGACTTATTTACCAACCTTTATTAAATTTATAGACATTCATTAAACCTTTTCCAAAGTCTAAGGTCATGAGATTATCCCTTAAAAATAAATATCCATGATAATGATTACAATCGCAAATCTATTTAAATCAGATAATCCAATGAAACTTAAGCATATTTGTTCAAAATCATCTTAACACAGTTGTCACAGAGATCCACTTTACTAAACAGATTACGGCTAGTTTTCCAGCTCCAACTTGGCCAATCAAGGCGGCTCCTCTCGACCCCAACTAAAGAGATATTTTCCAATTTTATGCCTTATGTAAATCCGATTCGAATCAAGACAGGTAGGCGTGTTAGGTTCAGCGGCGATCGGATCATATAAAAATCAAGTTCGGGCCACGTGAACAAAAGGAGCCCGCGACATTAAAACAAAAGTAAATCAGAGCTTAGTGTCAAAGATGTTAATTTTATTGCCGGTGCTCTCGCTACCTTTTTCGGTTCAAAAAAAATATATATACATTTTTTCTTCGCCTCCGAAAATTTATGCAGCCAAAAGGGGCGCGGCAAGTCCCATAAAAATTCATTTCGAACGTTACAAATCGATCGATTTGGTTTCGTTTTTTTTAACGGTCAGCGAACGATCACTCCCTTTCCCTGCCGTTTTCTCCCGCATCTGCAATATTGTCAGATGTAAGGAAAAAATGGAATCAAATTCAATGGCAAAAAATCATTGTCATTAGCATGGTTTCAATCAGTTTATTGATGATCTCACTACCAGCATTTAGTGAATGGTCACCAGGATAGCGCAGGGAAACCTCGGTTTATTCTCTATCTTTCATTTGCGGGTCAGTTGTGTTGGCTAATTAATGCTAATGATTTTAGGGATTAACTTGGGAAAAACTGGCACATTGACACAAGTTGTTCCTGTGACCTTAATCCATCCGCCTTTGAAGCCAGCTCTTAACATTAATCTATCCGTAAATAAGGGCCCACTTTCAGGGCCCAATCAATCTCCAAAGCATTCGGTTGCATTGTCACAGTCTGTTATGTATATTATAAGATTGGTTTTCAAAAAGAAACCTTTCTCTAAACAAATGCGAGCAACGGTTTCACCGATCACAAAAGCACGTGCCACTTGAAGACACAAAAAATATCCGAACAAAAAACACATACACAAGAGACATTCGGCGGTGTCCGAGCCCCAAACTTGGCTCACTTTTTAATTTGACGCAATTGTTATGGCATCGATCTGAAATGAATTTCGAATTGTCAAGGGCTAAGGAACCTAAACAATTAATGTCAAAAGCTATTCGAATATACTGGGGGCCTTAAAGCGCTTTCAAATGTCACTGAGCATGTCAGGGCACACAATCGAGATACCAAAATGGCCGTCGCAGAAAGAATATATGAAACTATATTTCGCTACTGACCAGGCGGCTACCGGGCTGATCCCCAAGCTAAAGCACAGCAGGCGGTTCCGCGATCTGATATTACTTTTGGCTTAAGGCTTTCAGCTCCAAGACAATCCTTGAGTCATCCCGTGAGGGTGCCTCAAAATGGGACTATATAAATACTCTTTCACTGAGGTATATTCCTTTTGAGAAGAAGCTTGAAGGGACTTAACTTCAAAGTAAATATTACTAAACATAAAACTAGTTTCTTGTTAAAATAAAAGAAATAATATAATACTTTCAAGGTTAATCTGTTAACAAATTACAAGTCCCACAGAACAACTTGCAAATAACCAAGACCTTACGAATTTCTTAAGATTAAAATCTAAATCAAATGAATTCTATAGAATTAATAGTTAAGGTAAGACCTTACGAATTTCTTAAGATTAAAATCTGAAATTAAATTCTTAAGAATTATTAGTTAAGATAATAATATATCATTAATATTTTTAATCCTCCCTCCATAGAGTATTCTGTTAATCAACCTAAAATCTGATTTTTAATTGGCTTTTGTTATGGCTGCATTGTTGTTGCCTGGCTTGGCCTCAAGTCGGGATTTTTTCTTTGCTTCTGATTTCGCTGAGAACGAAAGGCAATTCATCATAATTCATTATAAATATTTTTGACATTTTTTTTTTTCTTCGTCGATTCTCGCCGATGCAGTGTTGTGGAAACTAATAAAGATGTCATTGGCCAGAGGAGACAATCGGACGGCGAGACACAAACACAATCCTAAACGGGTAGACTCCGATCTATGTGTGAGCCATAAAAATGGTTTATATCCATGGTTATGCCGAGGGCAATTCATAATTTTCATAATTTACGCTTTGTTTGCCAAAACATTTGGCGCCTTCAAGAGAAATTTTCCAGTAAGTGGTATATGTATGTATATGGAAAATGGGCTGGTAATGGGGTGTGTTTTCCTCTCCAGGAACCACAGAGGTTACATCTTCAATAAGTCAAATTTATGACTCCTCTTACCTACTCCATAAATCATAGAAATTCCTTTAGGAGAATATTTCAGAAATTCATAATTAATTTTTAATGCTTGACTGCCCTCAGTACACCTCTTTATAGTCCTTCTCCTACTCTCTCTCTCTCTCTCTCTTGATTTTACTGGCTCTTCGTATTTTTTAACATTTTTGATTTATAATTCTTTCGTTTTCCGTTTTTTTGTACTCAGCCATTCACTTGAAATGTTTTCGAGTGCATTTCAGGCGCAGAGTTGAAGCCGTTTAATGCCCGCGCAATATAATATTGTAATTGCAAAGTGAAATGTCATTATGTATTGCATTTTGTAGCCATTGAAGCAGCGTCAAGTGCTTTGGCCCGTTCCGGAACCGCAATGATACACTTGGAGAAAATGTGTTTAAAGGGTGAAATTTATTATAAATCTAGATTCGAAATGTACAATGTCAAGCTAATTATTTAAATGTATTTATAGGAGTATTATTAAACTATAAAGGATACGTGAACAAGTTTTGGAACTCTCTAACCAGAACCATAAAAATAACATCATAAAAATGATAACATAATAATACTACACAGTTGCTTTTAACTTTCGAAAGTAAATTATTATATTTTCTGAAAGTTTTCAATGCTTTTTTAAAACAGAATGTTTAGTAAATTAAATGAGCTTTAAATTTCATCTCAAAATATATTTTATTTTATTTATCTTTTTTTTTTTATATATCAGAAAATGAGGGGGTTATTTTCTCCAGTGCACCCATGAACTTGGTTTGAGGTTTTGTGTCGAAGGTTGCGATTTTGCCCTGCCAGCTGGTCGCCTGCCAATTCAAGTGGGCGAAAATGGCAAACTCAACTCCGCAATCTCGAAAACCCCACCAGCCTTAACACTCTGGTGCAGAAATATTGCCGACGGCAACTCGAGAGAAGTCAAGTCAAGTTGGGTTAAGTCGCAGCCCAAAGTCACATGTGTCAACTGCAACTCCCACCATTCCGGAGGCTGTTGTTCTTTTCTTTGGCTAACTGTCAGCTGTGGCTAATTAAATGAAAGCCCGTCAAGTGCTGGAACTCTCGCTAGTTGTTCCTGGCCATGTTGTGTGTGTGGAAAAAGCCGGAGCCTGCCATCTTGGTGGCTGTTTTCCGCTCGCAGGGGCACATAATTGTCAAAGGTCACAAAGCTAAAATGGCTAAAATGGGTGTGCTGTGTCGGCTAGTGTTGTGTTCCTGCGTGTGGGTTTGTGGCCAACACCTCAGCATAATACTGTGGCGCAAGTTAAGTTAGGGCAGGTCCACATTAGCCTGGGCTTTGATTAGCATGTGTAAGAACTATTATAAGTAGAACAAAATAAAGATTTACTTGTGTTTTGGTTTCCAAGGAAGCATAGTTTTTTTTTGGAAAAATATACTCAGTAAAAATAACTTATTTTTTGTATCCATTTGACAACAATAAAGCCTTATGTTACCCTTAAATACGTTCCTATAGCTTAACCGATTGAGTAAGCCCAATTGTCTGTCTAATTGTGCCTGCCACAGCTGCCCCCCTTCAAGTTTTCAAGGACTTTTCAGCCGCAGTCCATGAAAAAAACACCACAGAATCTTTATAGAAATTCACATCCCGCAATTCACCCCCTCGGCCGCCCCTTCCCTCTGGTCTCAATACTGTTGCAGCAACGAAATGCGAAAAATATGTTAGTGGATAAAGAAGAGAGGCGACTGTGCCAGGGGTGTAGTTTTGAGGGGGGTTTGATATAAATTAGGCGAAATTTTGAAGGAAAATATTTAGCTTTGGTTTGGTAGTATATCTTTAAAGTATAAAAATATATAAGACATTTTATTGTTAAAATAAAAATAGCTAATTAGCTTTTAATAATGATATATTAAAACATTTTTCACATTATAACCAAAAAAGTAGTTTAATTTTAAATACTTTCTTTAATTATCTCCTAATTAAAACGTTTTCCTGTTAGCCATTCTACTTATGATACCCTCCTAAAAAAAACCCACCCCCGCCTCTGTGATAAGCACTCCTGTTTTCACAGCCTCGACTTCACTTGGCCTCTCAATTATCGTTTTTCGGGAAATCTGACCCCGGCCCGGATTTGTACTTTTTTTTTTGTGTATGCGAACCGAAAAAATGGTGAGTTTCCTTTTCATTTTTTTATAATTGTTATTTTTCGCGCACACTTGAGCCTAATGAATAAATAACATTAAACATGCTCTAATGGGCGAGCGATTTTCGTGGCAGCGTTTGGAAAAGGCGGGGTGGAAAACCGGGGCAAAACATTTTCATTGTGCGAATACTGAAGCTGAAGTGGGCCGCAGACGAAGCCGCCCACTTGAGCCAGCGGCTGCCTATGGGAACAGATTTTCCGGCCAGACTTCCAAAATGCATTGGGAACACCCGAGTTTAGCTGAAAGATGAAAGTTCGCAGCTCCTTAAACCAGGTGTCCCAGTCTTAGTTGGAAAATAGTTGCCCAAGAAAACACTTTGTACAATTATCTATCAGCCACAATAGGGAACTGTCGCCATCGATTCGAAGGCATTTTGGGCCAAAAGCAACGCTAATTGGCAACGCAAATTACGATCGTCATAATATCAAACACAATCGTTGGCCAACACAATATGGAAAATTTTAAATGCAACAATCGGCAATAACAATTGGGAAGTGATGATCGACTGAGCTATGGAATATTTTAAACAAATCGAATTTGGCATGCTCTTAGCGAGGGAATAATAAAATGTTAAATAGATGTTAATAGAAGGGTTTTAGGAAACGGGGAAAATTTAATAATTGAGCACGTTTCCGGAAAAGGAAATCTAATTGAAATTGAATTCTGTTAAAATCAAAAAATCTATGGAGAGGCTTTTAGATTTATATATCAAAAGAAATTAAATATACAATCAATGATTAATGCTGATATGAAATATCATGGTTATACTTTAAGAATACCATTTATATTTTGCAAAAATGAATATATATATATGAATATTTCATTAAGAGACCCTCAGGCCTAAATGTAAAGCATCCCCAGCACCCCAATCAATTATGTGACTAAACAAATTCATAGCTCCCATCTATGTTAACAAAAGAAGTTGACCAGAAATTAGCGCTTTTGGTAACACACCACAAAAGGTACCACACAAAAAGTCCAACAAAAGATGTAGAAAATAAATTCAAATCCCCAAAATAGACACAAAAATATGCGATTTTCTGAATGAAGAAAAAAAGTCAGCTACTCAATGGGGACTAACCGAATGCCTACTGGCCCATTCAGGAAATTCAGATCACTGATCAAATAAACAAGTCAAATTAATCGTTTAGGAAAGCGGCTAGAGGAGGCGATGGGCGCGTGTGAAAAGAATTTTACCAATTAGCGGGGCGTGTGTGTGCTATAGCCACCATACCGCAAAAGCTAAAACACACTCCGCCCCTTCGGCCACTGGATAATTTCGATGAGGCACCGCGATAAACCCTTGGAATTAGCTTGAGCAGCCGAGCAACTGATGGCCCGGCCCAGATAAGTGCAGCTGGAACCCCGGACTGAGCTCTGCTCTCTCTCAAGTGGCCGGCAATTAGGGGTTGCAGTGAAGAGCCGGATTCCGGAAATCATCCTCGAACAAACGACTCGCGCCCCAAATCAAAAAACCGAAATAAAAACGCAACAAAGTGTAAATAAATTTATTAAGGCTATACTTGGCTAGGGGTTAAAAAAAAACATAAAGAATCGGAGCACAAAGGTGGAAAACATAGAACTGGAAGCGCAGTTTTCGCACCATTTGAGCAATAGAACAGCGTCGAATGGAACAAATACAGAAATGAAACAAACACAAATAGCGATCATGGAACAGACAATGGCAACTTGTTTTGTAATTGCAATTGTTTCGATTTAATTGTACTTCTTTTCTATTATTTATCTCTTTTTATTTTTGACCCGTGGAAATGCGTAACAGCGGCAACAGGCGGACCTCGAGAACAAAAACCCTCATCGATCCGCACTGTAAGCCATACACCTTTGCTGGATACACCGATATAGACACACCTGTGCAATCGCCAGTTGCTGCTCCATTCCATTCCAATAGAGTGACGCAGTTACCCATTTTTTTATCTGTTTACCCGCCTCATTGCGTAATACTACCAACAGAAGCTGAAGTCTCTACAGAAGTTAACCCAATAACCACTTTGAGCCAGTTATCGCAAAAAATAAAAATACAATAAATATACTGCAAATGAGCTTTTACAATGGATTTTAAAGAAATTTGTTAAAGGTAATGGGAAACTGTTTCTATGTTTTATACAATCAAAAAGGAGGCTTGAAAATGTGGAATAAGAGTAAAACACACCACGGTTTTTCCAAAAATTTATTTACAAAGCCTGCTTAAATAATAATAAACGTTATATTGTTACTTTTAATCGCTTAAAATGTGTATTTTCTACTAGCACTAGTTTAAACTGGAATTTCCTTTAAAGTTAGAGCATCTGTTTTCGTTTACTTTCGTCAGTGGATTAAGCCAATATTTAGAATATACAAAAATTGTAGATTATTTGAAAGCCAAATCGTGATTAAACTTAGTACAGGTGCAGAAATCAAATAAGAACTAAAGAAATATATTTGAAATAAAAAATACGTTAGCTGACCTACAGTTTTGTTAACTTACCGTTCCTTTAGAACTCCTAACTAAATTTAATAGATACAAAAATCTATTTGTCTCGTTTATTAAATTAAATAATTGTATCCTTAAAGCTTTGTAAAAAAATACATTTACCCTTATATATTGGGCATATTATTGCCATTGAAATCCATTCGTTTTTCGTCAAATTAAAATTTGTGTTGTATAGCCTTTGCCATAGTAACAATTTCAGCGTCCGCTAATTGG